TCTCCCAGATAGATTCGAGCTGCATCAGATAATTTGTCACATGCGGCACCCTCCCAGGCGCCTTCACTCCCCACTCACCAGCCAGCCACCGACCGGCAATTACAGACGTGACTGATTCCCAGGCCCAGAGATTCACCATGTGGGCAGCGCTCTGTGTCCTGGGATGGTAGAGAGATGACTTGGAGCGGTAAAATGGGAAACATAACACCAGCACCCAGAGTTGTCACAGGGCTGCAGAGAGCTTCTTTTACTCTGTACTTACCTGACCTTGGACTTGGAACAAACTCAGTACTCACCACACAGGGGAAAAGACTAAACCACACTCTGGTTAGCTCTAGAGTATGTGGTATGTGAGAGGTGTTTTTTAAATTTTATTTGTTATTTGTTTCCTTTACTTATAATTCATTTTCATTACTGTGTTTACTTTAAATCGTCTGGCTTCTCTGGGCTGGCATCCCAGGTGAGAGAAAAGCTAAGGCGTGGGAGAGGCCACACTGGCTTTGCCCGCAACTCTGTGACCTTAGCCTCTTCAAGCCTCAGTTTCTGCTCCGGTAAATTGGGGAGGGGAGTAATACCTTTCCCTTGGAACAGTTGTGGGAATGAAATAAGTGTCGTAAGTAAGAGGATCTTGTTCTTGTTAGGCTCACGTTCACTCCACAAACACCTGCCACACGCCAGGCATTGTTCTAGTGGTTGGGGATGACGCAGTGAAGAAGATGGATGAAATTCCGGCACTTTCATGGAGCTTACATTCTAGTGGGAGAGACAGACAATCTCTGCATCACTCAAATTGAAAATGGTAATGATTTAAGAGCTATCCAGGCCCAGAGTGCCTTGAGAGCAAACAGCAGGGGGATCTGACCTAGTCGGGGAGGCCAGAGAAAGCTTCCCTGAGCAAGCAACAACTGGGCTGAGATCTGAAGCGTGTGTAGGAGTTAGCAAAGGCAGAGGTGGGCAGGCAAAGCTTTCTGGACAGGGGGAACAGGCCCCATGATGGGAGGGATCCTGGGACTGCAAAAGACTGGCCTGGCTGGAGCAGAGGAAGTAAGGGGGAGCATGTTGTGAGAGGAGGTGGAAAAGTAGGAAGGGGCAGACCCGCAGGCCTTGTTGGACAGGTTAGGGTGTTTTATCTTAAGAACATCAATAAGCCGACGAAGAGTTTTAAGCAGGGAAGTGACATGATCAGATTTGTGTTATCAAATGACCATTTGGATTGAATCAGGCCAAGAGCAGCAGCAGGGACAGCCATTCGGAGCTTTTGCAGACGTGCAGGCAGGAGGTGATGTTTCGGAGGTGGTTGGGTTAGTTAGCAGTGCTTTCTGCTGCAAATACAGAAAACCTGGCCTACGTGATTTAAATAAAGAGGAATTTGTTTCTTACCACATTTAGGCCAGGAGGAAGGGAACTGCTTGTGTTGGTTCCCAGGCTCAATGACTCCAAGACTAGCATTTCTGCTATTCTCTAGGCTTTTCTCTCCTGTTGTCAAGACAGCTGCCCTAGCTTGGGCATTGTGGTTGTATTCAAGCCAAGAAGAAAGGGGGGAAAAATGATACCAGCAAGCTTCACCCTTCTTATAACAAGGCCAAATCTTCCTTAGAAAGACTTATTCAATTTTTATATACATATTATTAGGCAAATGTGAATGGTTCATCCTCTGGTTCCAAGAAGGTTGAGAGTGAGTTTTAGCTATTCAGCTAACCAAGATTTGGTGGATATGGAAATAAGTGGGCAGATCTATTGTTAGGAAGCAAAATCCAGAGGACTTGGTGATGGATCACATTATTAATCTCCTCTTTGTTTTTCCTTCTTATTGATTATGTTTAGTAATAAGATGGCATCAGGAGGAATGTGATTGTTAAACATAATACAAAGGAGAAAGCCTATGTAATTAAATCTATATCAATTCAGTCTTTTTTTCTGTGTGTGTGTTAATTCTCACTCGAGAATATTTTTTTCATTGGTTTTGGGAGAGAGACAGAAAGAGAGAGAGAGAGAGAGAGAGAGAGAGAGAGAGAGAGACACGGACCAAAAGAAACATCAATGGGAGACACATTGATCGCACATGACCTCATCAGGGAATCGAACCTGAGACCCTTTGGGCTGATGCTCTAACCACTTAGCAACACCAGCCAGGACTCTTCCACTACTATTAATCATGCCCGAAAAGACTCTTCTCCCTGATATCCCTGTGTCTAATAATGGCATCATTAGTCTTCCAGTCACAGCTGTTGCAAAATTTAGAGTCGTCTTTCTTTCTGAGTCTCTCTCCCACCTCTTGAAAGTATTTGCCATACCTTAAATGTCTGCTGGAACCCTCCTACCCCATTCCTCAGAATTCCTTACTTGGCCTCCTCTTCTGCCTTTGTGCCTGTTGTTTCCACCACTGGGAGTTCTGTCTTCCTGCCCCACCTATGTCTGTGGAACACACAGCCATCTGAGACTGGAGCTGGGAGAACCATCTTGTTCCCATATCAAACACACTCTGCCGTGGGAAGTCTTCCTCAATTTCCCTCTAGTGCATCTGGTCTTGTTCTCATCTGAACTATCCTAGCATCTTGGTACCTCTTTCCAGCACAGTCATTTATTCATCTACATAGTGAATGTTTATTAAGGACCTACTCCAGGCAAAGCCCTGAATTAGGTGCTAGCGATTCAGAGATAAATAGCATTTGGTTCCTACCCTGCAGAAGACCACATTCTAGTTGGCAGGTGGGGGAGACAGAAACGGAAGCAGACAATTTCAATGTAGTATGAGAGCTGCTTTCATGGGGAACTCGGGGTATTATAAAAACCCAATAGAGAGGCATAACCCAGAATAAGAGTACAGAAAGTCTTTGAGGGAAGGTGGGGCTTAATATGAGCAAGTGGGAATGGGGAAGGGTTGGGGTAGGGAGGTTGATGAAAGGAAATTCTAGGAGGAGGGACCAGTTTGTGTGAAAATACAACGACCTAGAGTAACCCTGTTATGTAAGAGGTTGTTCCCCTGTTAGACTCTAAGCCCCTTGATGGCAGGGATCACACTTACATCACCTTTATACACTTCTCACTCAGAATTTTGTTAATGGTAGTTGCTGAACAAAATTTAGCGGAATGGAATCATACTGGAGGGCAATGAAAATGCAATGGCTCAGCACCATGGACAGATCACTAAGACACCTGCAGTTGGAGGTAGTCCAACCTGCAAGCTCATTTCCATGTATTTGCATAATGAAGCCAACCACATTTCCCTAAGGGTCCAAAGGCTCTGCATCATGGGGGATACAAGCAGTCCTTCCTGGTTTGGGGGATTGGGAATGGAAATGGGCAAAGCCAGAGGCTGACTCTCTGAGGACTCTGGAGACTCTCTCTCTCCTTTGCTCTCTTCACCATCCTTTTCTTTTTCATCAGGAGCCAGAGGTCCTGAGCCTTCTGAGGTTAGGATTCTGCCTGGTGGTGGAGATCCTGACACCAAGGATGGGACACCCAGGATGGTGAGTCTGGTGGGAGAGTCTGGGATATGGGGATTAGATTGAGGTTCTCAAATCAGAATTAACTTGAGTTTGAATCTTGATTTAAAGTGACTCACCCACTCACTGGCTTTGTGACTTACCTTTTGAGCTCAGTCTTCTCACCGATAGATGTGGATTTCAGTGGGATTAGAGAATATTATTATGCACAGCACCTGGTACATAGCAAGTGCTTGGGAAATAGTAAGAGATGAGCTATAAGTAGGATCTGGAGGAAGGCTTGAAACACGATGGATATTAGGAGGTGGTGGGTGGGGAGCAAGGGAGGATGAGTCTTGAAGGGGCTGTTGTCTGGAGTCTTTGATGCTGTCATCCCCTCCTGGTCAGCAGATGGCCCAGGAGCCTGGTCTGGGATGAGGGAAGGCGCCGTCTGCCAGCATCTCAGTCCCCATTCCTCCTGCTGTCACCCCCTCCTGCCATAGCTCCTGTCCTGGCAGCTCTGGAGTCCTGATTGGAGGCAGTTCTTGCTGAGAGCTGACCTCTCTGTCCTGTAGCTGTGGCAAGCCTGGGATGGGGGCCAGAGGCACTGCTTTCAACATTTTCTCTCCATCACTCCCTGCCCCACAAGCCCACTGTTCCTGGGAGTCGGAACTCCTGGGTTCCAATCCCAGTTCCAATCCCAGGAACTCCTGGGTTCCAATCCCAGGATTCAGATGCTGCCTTGTACAGCCAGCGTTCCTCCCACTTATGGCCTCTCTACCCTTCATGATTCCCCTTTAGTGGAATGGGGGTGGCAGATAGGGGTAACAGGCCAGAGGGGAAATTCCAGTGGGGAATATTTGATATCCGGAGAAAAAAAGGAGTCATCTTAGGTTATTTCTTCCTACCTCAGTCTTGGAGAGAGGGAGAATGAGCCTGCAGCCAGATGGAAGAACCTGGGTGTGAAAGGAAGGGGAGGGGCTTTCTTGCATAATCAGGCTGGCTATTTAGATTTGGGTCTGTATTCTCTTTGGTTATTGCTGCTGGGTGTTGTGACCCTGGGGCCTGGAAGTGGGTAGGGATGGGTTAGAGGGTGTGTCTCTGGATCAATTTGCCTAAAATCAGCTTGTTAAAAGCCAGTTCACTTAATGACTGGTTTCTTTGAATGTTTTGTACATCTGTGTGGGTATCCTTTTATTTCTGGTAACCCTGGGATTAAAAAAAAAAAAAAAAAAGCCACACACAGCCATTTGGCTGCAGGCATTTCCTTTTGTGAATAAATATTTATCAGATTTGCAGCATTTGATGAATGACAGTATTATTTTGTGCCCTTGTGAGTGTCTTTGTCTAGCATGGTTGTTTTTTTTTTTAAAGGACTTTAAGCCTATTTGTGGAAAGATAGTACAATTAATCACCATAAATTGATATGCATTACCTAAAGGGATACCAGAATTCTAATAAAAGATAGTTTTAGGTAAAGTGGCCTATTGTTCAATCTGAATCCCTTCTCTCCCTGTCTCCCAGGAGGTTCTTGGGGCCTGGCCCCCAACACTATGAAGAGCCTTTGCTGAGGCCATGAGGGGTTACCATGGCGACCGAGGCAGCCATCCCCGCCCAACCCGCTTTGCTGACCAGCAGCATATGGACGTGGGCCCAGCTGCCAGGGCCGCATACCTGCTGGGCTCCGGGGAGACCTTCTCCACCGAGCCCCGCTTCTGTGCTTCGAGAGCTGGCCTGGGACACCTTTCTCCGGAAGGGCCCCTGAGCCTGAGTGAGGGGCCATCAGTAGGCCCTGAGGGAGGGCCAGGGGGGACTGGAATTGGGGGGGGTAGTAGCACCTTCCCCAGGATGTACCCCGGCCAGGGCCCCTTCGACACCTGCGAAGACTGTGTGGGCCACCCACAGGGCAAGGGTGCCCCCCGCCTGCCTCCTACACTCCTGGACCAGTTTGAAAAGCAGTTGCCAGTTCAGCAAGATGGCTTCCACACGCTACCTTACCAGCGAGGTCCAGCAGGGGCCGGGCCCGGGCCTGGGCCGGGATCTGGCTCTGCCCCAGAGGCCCGCAGCGAGAGCCCCAGCCGCATCCGGCACCTCGTTCACTCCGTGCAGAAGCTCTTTGCCAAGTCCCACTCTCTGGAGGCCCCGGGGAAGCGGGACTACAATGGGCCCAAGGCTGATGGAAGAGGTGGCTCTGGGGGAGACAGCTACCCTGGCTCAGGCTCTGGAGGCCCCCACACCTCCCACCACCACCACCACCATCACCACCACCACCACCACCAGTCCAGGCATGGCAAGAGGAGCAAGAGCAAGGACCGCAAGGGCGATGGGCGGCACCAGGCCAAGGCCGGGGGCTGGTGGAGCTCTGACGACAACTTGGACAGTGATAGCGGCTTTCTAGCGGGTGGGCGGCCTCCTGGGGAGCCAGGTGGTCCCTTCTGCTTGGAGGCTCCAGATGGGTCCTACCGGGACTTGAGCTTCAAGGGGCGCTCAGGAGTGTCGGAAGGCCGCTGTCTGGCCTGCACTGGCATGTCCATGTCGCTGGATGGACAATCTGTTAAGCGAAATGCCTGGCATACCATGATGGTCAGCCAGGGCCGGGATGGATACCCAGGGGCCGGACCAGGCAAGGGGCTCCTGGGTCCAGAGGCCAAGGCCAAAACCAGGACTTATCATTACCTGCAGGTGAGGCTTGGTGGGGGTGGAGAACAGGGCATCAGCCCTCATAGTGCTGCCACCCAGTAAGTTCTGGAAAGGGATGGATGGCAGCCAACTGTTGCCATGATAGAGGATTTAGATGGAGGAAGGTTCTTCCCTGTTTTGTTCTGTAAGACTCTGAGCTACTTTTGGGACCTTGGTTTCCCCATTTGTGCAATGAAGGGGCCCTTTGATTCTGACATTGTGTGGCAGTGCCAGGAGGGCTTCCCCTTGACTTGCTGTTTTGGACAAGCTGTGCCGGCCTGTCTTGTAAGGTTGGAGGCAGAATGAAGTTGAGGGAAGGCAGTGGACAGGACAGCATGGTGCTCCCTGGCTGTAACTTCCTTTAAGATTGAAGGTCAATAGTTGGAAAGCAGCTCTCCTTCCTCAGGCCTTCTCCAGATCTCTTTCTTCTCAAATCTGGGTGGTCCAGATATTGTTTGAATATGAAGGTCAGTTCTAGAATGTCCCTCTGTGGAGTTTGTCATTTTGGGGTGCCTGTGGTAGGATACGTGTGAGGCTGGGGAAGAGCCCTGGGAGCCTGGCCCCTGGGTTTTCCTAGACTGGGGGCTACACTGGAGTCTGAGCCAGGACAGGGCTTCCTGGGATTGGAATGGTGTAGCTAATAGCTGGCTTGCTATCCCCATCCGGTCTCACCATTGTCCATGGTCTCTGCAGATGAGACTAAAAGCTCTGACATCTTCTTCTTGTGGAGTCTTCATCCATCCCACACTGACCACTCCCCATCTTCTTACTAAGATGGGGTCAGGGGCTCATCTCACCATCAACTTTCCTCTTTTCTGTCTCAGACACCCCTTACGTATCCCTTGAGCTGTTTTCTTGAGCCTTCCCATAGTGTTAGGAGGAAAAGTCAATACAAATTCTGGAGTCCAGCAGACTTAGGGTTACCTCCCAAACCCACATTCCATATAGTTAATCCACAGTCATTCAGTCAGAGCATTTCCCGGATGCTGTGGGTACAAAGATGAAAACACAGATGCTGCTTGCAAGGAGCTGTTTAGAGGTGGGACAGATAAGGAAGCAGATAGTGTGCAGTGAAAGAAAGCTGTGATAGGAGAGAGCGGTGGGTACCATGGGAGCACAGAGGAGGCATCTCACCTGCCCCAGGATGATGGTGGCCAACCACCTTCAGGGAAGAATGTCCTCTAAGCTGAATCTCAGTGCAGAAGTGGATTGAGGGTGTTTCAGGAAGAAGCCACAGCACGCCCAGAGGGATGGGAATTGAGCTTGCATGTGTCTCTTAGGTGTCACTGGTCTTACTGGTAAGTTGTTCACACGTTAGGACTCTCCTGGGTGGGAATCTCATGAAAGCTCAAGGGGACAAATGGGTCACAGTGGGAGCAAGAAGGGGTGGGAGACAGAAGGGAGATTGGAGACTGCGAGGATTCAGGATTTCTGGGTTGGCCTTGGATTGCCCCCTCCCTGGGTAGAGAGGTTCTCTAAGCTGCAGTTGAAGGGGCCAACAAAAAGGGCTGAGGAGGGAGTACCGACCTTTCTCTCATAACCGAGCCCTTGTCACTTCTGGAGCCTCACCGCCACTCCGCTGCTCCCTGCTGCTACTCTAGGTCTGCCCTGACCTCCCTGGGGGCTTCCTTGTTAATATGCACCTCACAGTGTCCTGCAGCAGTAGCTACGGAGTGGGAACCCTGCAGTGTGGCAGAGCGTGCCCTGGCTTTCCCATCTGCTAGCCTGCCTCTCTCTGCCTGCCTGTGGCTCCTCTCTGTGGAGTATGGAGAAGGGGAAGATTCCATCAGGATCTGGGGTTCTAGGGCATCTTAGGACTAGGAAGTCTGAACCCATTTGGGGGAGAACAAGGGGATGCAGGGACCCTTCAGACAGCTTGGTGTTCCCCTGACACAAAAACGGGAACCTGACCCCACCAGAGTAGGGGGTGTCTTTGATGGATTGATTCTCAATCCTTTTACTGAGACCCTGTTCCTCTCACCAGTCTCCAGCTCTCCCTCAACTCTGCCTCTGTGTGGGTTTCTTCATGGGGTCTCATCCCATCCCTGGGTCTCTATCCCCTCACGTAGCTTCATCCCAGAGTCTGTGTCCCTCCCCTGAACCCTGACCCCTTAAGACCTCCAGTCCCACCCCAATTTAACCTGTTTTTTTTTTGTGTGTGTGTGTGTGTGTTTTTTTTTTTTAATAATAATAACAGGTGTTTTAAATCGTCCCTCCTTGCCCCAGTTGTCTCCTCCATACCTTCATTTACACTAGTAATTCTTTACAGTGTAAGCCAACTGGCATGGACGCCCTCACTTTTCTGTCAGCCCACTCATGTAGATCCCGAGCCACTCTCATCCCTTTCCTTCTTGGCTCAAGAGACGCCAGGACCACCCATCCCAGGCTGATACCTCTAGTGGGTTTAAGCCGGTCTCCCCAGGTTCCCCTCCATCCTTGAACTGTCTGTACACCCCCCTCCACCCCTCTCGATTTAAAGACTATCTTTATGGGCTTTTTTACTGGTCCTGAAAACATGTCAAGTCTCTCATCCAAAGAAGAAATTTTTCATCAACATTATCCCCCCTTCCATCTCCTAACTTCCCTTCGTATCCAGGTTCTTAGACCATATACCCCATTTCTTCACTTCCTTTCATCCTTCCTTTAGTAGAGTCTGGGGAGGAATCCACTGACATCTAAAAAAGGATTTTAAATGTCCCTTTTGCCAGCCTTCCTTGAAAGGTACCTTCCAATGCTTATAATAATAATAGTTAACACATATTGAGCACTTACTCGGTGCTGGCATTCTACACGGCTCATTTATCCTTCCCACCAACCCTGCGATGTAGGCATAGCTGTCATTACCAATCACGAATGAGGAAACTGAGGTCTAGAGATGGGTCCATTTTGCTCAAGGTCACCTACTCAGCAAGTCACGGGCCCAGAAAATCTGAACATAGATCTAACTCCTGAGCTTGAGTTACTAACCTCTGAATGCACTTGACATTTGACATTAACAGCTCCTTTTATTCTTGAAATGTCTCCTGTTTCCACGACATGTCATTCTCCTGACTTCCCTCCTACCCCTCTGCCCACTCCTTCTCAGGTGACTTCACAGGCTCCTCTTCCCTTCTTCGCACCCCCCTTTTAAATGCCAGTGATTCCTCCCCAGCTCTCTCTTTTCCCCTCTGGGTATTTCCATTCACTCCTGTGGATTCAGCTGCTGCCCACGACTCCCACACGTCTGCCTCCAGTCCAGATCTCCCCACGGAATTGCAGAACCAAACAGCCAACCACCTGTTCGACAGTCCTCGCCAAACTCACCATGCCCAAACCTGAGCTTTCACCTCCCCCCACCTGTTTCTCTGGGGTTCTGTGGCTCAGTGAGCAGCGGCACCATCCCCCAGATCCTCAGCCAGCAGCCTCCAGTCATCCCCGACTCTTCCCTGCCCCTCACCCCCCACATCTCATCAGGCTCACTGATGCTCCTCAGCACCTCTCATTTCCATCTCCTCTTCCCCTCATTGTCACTGTCTTAATTTAGGCCTCATCATCTCTTGCCTGGAGAACAGCATCAGCCTCCTAATTGGTCTCTTCTGCCACTTCCGCCCCTGCCTTGCTTCTGGCCCTCACAATTCATCCTCTGTTTGGACTGTTAAAACGTTCTTTCCGAAACACAAATCTGATGTCACTCCCCCACCCCCGACCTCCCCCCCAAAAACACTCTATGGCTTCTCACAGAGGAAAGGGAGGAGAGGTGGAGATTTGGGGATATAAGCAGCTTATGAGGATGAAGGATGAGGAAGGGTGAAAGGTGACCCAGGTCAGGTGACACGTCCGCTGATGAGGGCGGGTTGACAGAGGTCACTTTGGCCTCTGATCTTTGACCTTTTGGCACCTACATGTCACTGCCCACCCAGACTCTCCAGGGCAGCAGTCGCCAACCTTTTGAACCTCATGCAGGCCACCGGTTGGCGACCGCTGCCCTAGCTTGCCCTCAGTTAGGTAGCACCAGGTCCATGCAGGATAATGAGGCATCTCCTGGAAGGGAGGGTACGGTCCAAGCCCTGCCTCCAGCTCAATCTGCATGCTCCTGAGTGTGGCCCATCCAAGCCAGGGTAGAGCGCCTCCCACTGGCAGTGGAGAAGAGGGTCCTGGCCTCAGGTTCAGTAGGGATGTGTCTGAGAGACAGAGGCCCCTGTTCCTGCAGGTGCCGCAAGACGATTGGGGGGGTTACCCCCCTGGGGGTAAGGATGGAGAGATCCCCTGTCGCAGGATGCGGAGCGGCAGCTACATCAAAGCCATGGGGGACGAGGAGAGTGGAGACTCAGATGGCAGCCCCAAGACATCTCCCAAGGCGCTGGCCCGGCGCTTTGCCTCCCGCCGCTCCTCCAGTGTGGACCAGGCCCGGATCAAGTAAGGACTGGGAGGGGGAGGGAGGGGAGGGGAGGGGAGGGTGGGGTGGAGGGAGGGGGCATGGGAAGCTGATAACTGGTCCCTGTAGGAGGTGTGTGTAGAGTGAGTACCAGTCTGCTCCCAGCTTAAGGTTCAACTGGGAGTATCAGTCTGTTCCATAAAAAAAAAAAAAAAATGGCCCTTCTAAGGAGACTTATATAATACTTTAAATAATAAAGAATTTAAATTATATATATATATATATATATATATATATATATATATATATATAATTATACTAAAAAAAAGAAAGAAGAGATCCTTCTGATAACTCCTATCTGAGTGCCTCTTTGGGAGAGTCCTTTTACCCAGGAGTTTTTTGTGGGATCTTGTCTGGGGGTTTCTGAGGGATAGAACCAATCCTCCAGGGCGCCCAATCCTCTCATTCCCCTCCCCTGCCTCCTCACAGACCCCCATTCTGAATCTGGAATTTTGACCTTTCTCAGCTGCTGCGTCCCACCCCGGATCCATCCCCGGAGCTCCATCCCTGGCTACAGCCGTTCCCTCACCACCGGACAGGTAGGGGGAGGCCCAGCGGCATGCCTGGAGGAAAGGGTGGAAGGGGGATTCAGTCCATGCTCAGCCTTGGCCTTAAAATCAAAGGTCTGGCCAGGGAGAGCATGCAGGTCTGATTCTAGGGGAACAGGGAAGCCGGCCTTGGGACTCCTGGAACTGACTGAGATCGGGGATCTCAGAGTCATCCTTAGAAACCAAGTGTCCTCAACGTGATGAGCATGTAAGGGCACCCTCAGTTCTCTCAGTTCTCCAGCACTGCCCTGGCCTGGTTGCTCCAAGGGCCCCCCCTCCCCCAATAAGAGGCAGGATTGGTTGTACAGATGGGACAGGCAGAGCTGCAGTCTCAGATGGTCTGGGCTTGAGTTCTTTCCCCACCACCAGGCCCCCGTTTTCTCATCAGTAAAATGACAAGCGTAGTGGTATTTCTCTCGCAGGGGTTTTGTGAGTATTCGGTGAGGAAATGTATGCAAACCCAAGGTACCTGGCCCCAAATTGCTATTGTATAATTTTGAGTTCTATATGTAAGTGGAGACTTTCCCTTGACTAAGGCAGTTTAGTAATTAAATGCATGAGATGGGTTTGAATTCCAGCTCAGCTACTTCCCAAGCTGAGTGACCTGGGGCAAGTTAGTTGACTTTTTCTGAGCCCCATTTTTCCTATTTAAAAATAGGCAGCATAATAGTGTTCTTGGCACAGAGCCAACAGCCCATAAAGGCCAGCTATTTCTACTGTTTGCTGGGGGGAAGCAATGCAAAGGCAGTGCCAAAGGCTGTCCCATTGGCTCCTATTGTCGGCTGCTGCAGCCTCTCAGCGTCTCTTTGTTACATTTCCTGAATCAGGGAATCTGACTGGCACAGCTGTCTTTTCACATCCGACCAGCCTCTGTGGCTAAAGCCACTGGTTAATGCGCAGTTCTTGTTTCACTGACCCATCAGCAGCATCTAACACAGCTGATGGCTCTCTCCTTCCCCAAACACCTTACTCAGTTGGCTTTGAGGACACCACACCGTTTAGCTTCTTCTCTCTCTGACTGCTTATTCTCAGCCTGTGCCTGCAACTCTCCAGGATCTGAACGTTGGGGTTTTTCAGGCCTTAGTTCTTGGATTTCTCTCTACACTTACTTCTTAGGGGAGCTCATCTCATCAGGCTCATGGCTTTGATTATTATTGAGAGCTTGATAACGCCCAAATGTATATTTCCAGCTCAAACCCTCCCATAAATGCCAGGCATGTATGTCTAGTATGTATGTCTAAAATCATATTTAGTAGACATCTCAAATCAAGATGTCTAAAACTAAACTGCTGATACTCTTTCCCCAAAATTTCCTGCTCCACCCAATGTCTTCTCCATTTCAAGGACTTTATCCTTGCAGGAGCTCTGGTCTGAAAGCTCGAGTCAGTCTTGACTTCCTTCTCTTTGTCCCATCCCACATCCCATCTTTCAGCGAATCCTTTTGGTACCACTCTCAAAGTGCATCTAGGATCCCACCACTCCCCACTGCCTCCACGGTCATCATGCCGGTCCAGGCCACCATATTTTTTTTTTTGTCTGGACTGTTGGACTGCCTTCTAGTGTGTCTCTTGTACTTGTTCATTCTCTCTCAATATAGTCAGAACAATCACTTTAAAATGGAATTATACTCACTCAAAACCCTGACCTGACTTAGAGGAAAATTCAGGGACTTTACTATGATATATAAGGCCCTGCATAATCTGGCCCTTGCCACCTCTGAGTTCCTCTCTCACACTGTTCCCTCCCCTCCCCCACCCTAACCATACTGGTCCCCTTGTTGCTCTTCTGAAACCAGTCTTAAAGCTTTTGCATCTACTGCTCCTTCTGCCTGGATCGCTCCTTTCTAGACTCCCATGGATCTCTCTCTCAGTTCTTTTAAGTATTTCTTCAAATGTAAAATCTAAATTTTAGTTTTCTCCTACCCCCAAATTTCCTATTCTTCTCTGTTTTTTATTTTCTTTTTCTTAGCACTTTGTGTATACATTTCATATTTCTTCTGGGAGGTATATCTTATAATCTTTGCTTTACAGAAGAAGAAACAGGTTTAACACACTAGAGATGTCATTCTATTATCTATAATAATTTTTTTTGCCCTTAAGTCTATGTTTTGGTTTAGTATTTTCCCAGAACATTCTTTTTTCATATTTCAAAAGAATTTTTTCTTCTTATGTTTTATGTATATTTTTTGTAAATAGTTTATAGCTAGATTTTATTTTATCTACATTCTGACAATTGCTTGGGAGTGTAGAACATTTATATTTATTGTGATTTACTGATATGCTTGGATTTATTTCTGTCATTTTACCTTGTGGCTTCTATGTATCTTGCTATTGGGCAATGCTTCTTTTTATTTTTAATATACTTTTATTGATTTCAGAGAGAAAGGGAGAGGGAGAGATAGAAACATCAATGAAGAGAGAGAATCATTGATCGCCTGCCTCCTGCATGCCCTCTACTGGGGATTGAGCCCACAACCCTGGGCATGAGCCCTGACCTAGAATCCAACCTTGACTTCCTGGTTCATAGGTTGATGCTCAATTGCTGAGCCACACAGGCCAGCCGGCTGGTCTGGGCAATTCTTCTTTGCTCCTTTGCTGCCTTCTTTTGGATCAATTTGAGTTTTCTTCATTTTTCTTCCCACCAAATATCACACTGGCTGGCAGTTATTATTCTATATTGATTTGGTAATGTATTTTTACTTCATTTTTAGAAGATAGTTTGCTGATATAGAATTACTGGTTGACAGTTTTTTGTTTTTTTTTTAAGCACTTTGAATGTACTATTCTGCTGCTTTCAGAGGTCATAGCTTCTGATGAAAAGCAAGTTGCTAATCATATTGTTTTTCTGTATGTGATGAATTGTTTTTCTCTTGGCTGCTATTAATGTCTTCAACTTTCAACATTTTGAATGTAACGTTACTGGATATAGATTTCTATGTTTAACCCACTTTGGGTTCATTGAACTTCTTTGGCCATTATTTCTTGAGATATTTTTTCTTCCTCATTTATCTCTTTCTTTATCTGAAGTTCTCATTACATGTACACTGGTATATGTGTAATATTGTTTCATAGGTCTCTGAGTCTGTTCATTTCTATAATAGTGTTTTTCCCCTCTATTATTCATATTGGATAACTTATACTGACCAAACTTCCAGTTTACTGATTATTTATTATTCTAAGCCCTCCTAGTAAATTATTTTATTTCTGTTATTGTACTTTTAAGCTTTTGAATTTTTGGTTCTTTTTTTCTTCCTTTCAAAATAATTTCTAGCTTTTTGTTAGGATTTTCTGTTCATTAAATCATTGTTGCAGTGCTTTCCTTTAAGTCTTCTTTACTTCTTTGGACATATTTATAATAGCTGCTTTGTAGTCTTTGACCAGTCAAACATTTGGGCAAATTTTCTTATTTATTTGAATATTTCATAATTTTTTATTGAATACTAAACATTTTAGGTAATATGTTGTAGCAACTCTAGATTCTTACTGTATCTCTTGAAGGTTGTTATTATTTTGTTTATTTGTTAAACTCAAGACTAAATATCTAAAATCCATCTTCCCTGCCAAATGCAAACTCTCCTGTCTCCATCAGTTTTATTCTTTCTTGTTTTTATTTTTAAGCCTGGTTTCCCAGGGGTTGCCCCTGTGTCTGCATAGCTTACTATTCAACCAGAAATTGGTGAGAGGCTACAAAACCATAAGCCAGTAGGACTTCTCTCTGCTATGATTCTATGAATGGCCTGGGAAGTATAATCCTCAGACTGTTTTCAGGTCTGCCCTGGCTTTTACTTTCCACCAGGCTCTCTTGTGTTTCCTTTGCCCATGTGCACAGACACCATCGACTCAGGACCTCTCTGGTTTCTGTTGTGCATGCACCCAGCCTCTAGTTAACCCAGGATATGTGGAGAGCTTACCAAACTGCTTATGGCTATCTCACCCCCTACCTGAAACTCCCCCTTAAATTCCTGGTTAGTCTGCCAGTCCATAGTCTGCCCCAAACATGCCAAAACCTCAGCCTCCCAATGCTGCTGTCTATGTTTCTGACACTCCAGTCTACAGACGATGCTCCAATTAGGTGAGGTCCCTTCGCCATTGGCACTGAAGCAGCTAGTTTTCACAGCCTGCTCCACCCTTGTTGAACTATTGCAACTAATAGAGCTGGGAGCTGGGGGTAATGGTGCGGCTCCAGGCAAGGCTACCACAGACTCATGCTGTTCTTACCCAAAGTTCAGCACTTTTCACTAATAAATGCTTTTTTGATTTTCAGGGTGATGAAATAATTGTTTTTGGCAGTTTTGTCCATCTTTATAGTTGTCTTTGTGGGATAAGATTTGGTTTTCTCCTTTTCCTGTCATGCCTGAGACTGGAAATCTAGAAATTTCTCAACTACCCACCATTATCTCTTCAAGTATTGCCTCTTCCAAATTCTATCTAGTTTCTCCTCTGAAACTCCTACTAGTTTTATGTGGGACTTCTTATTCTTCCCTCCATGGGTCTTAACCTCTCCTTCATTTTCCCACCTCTTTACCTCTCTATGCTCCCATTGGGTAAGTTTCTCAGAGGTATGTTCTGGTACCCTAAATTTTTCATCTACTGTTTAACTCATTAACTGAGTTTTTAATTTCATTGACTTTTTTTTTTCTTCATTTCTAGAAATCTGATTTGGTTCCTTTTTTACATCTTCATAGTTTTTTTCCCAGAGCTTTTATTCTCTTCTTATATTTTCAGTTTTATCTTTTAACATGTAAGCGCCCAGTCAGTCACCGGTGACTGGCACTCTACTTTCCGTCCGGAAGACAAAACAGGCTGGGCGCTTAATGTGTGAAGTTTTATAAATGTTAAGCATCGTTTAAAAGCTAATCTGTTTGAGCGAAGGTAACATTAGCTGCTGTGACAGGTCAACCTTGAATTCTCAGGAAGTTTAGTTCTTGTTTGTGTCATAGTTTGTATTAGTTACCTCTTGCTATACAACGAGTTACCCCACGCATAGTGCCTTAGAACAACAAACATTTATTAGCTCACAGTTTCTGTGGGCTAGAAAGCTGAGCACAGCATAGCTGGGTGTCCCCTGGGTCAGTGTCTCACAGGCTTCAGTCAAGGTGTGAGCAAGGCTGCACTCATTCAGGACTTGACTGGAGGAAGATCTGCTGTCGACAGGCCTCAGACCTTGCAGGCTGTTGGTCAGAGGCGTCGGTCGGTTCCTTGACCCGTGGGACTCACCATACAGTTACTCACAACGTAACAGCTTACTTCTCTCAGAGCCTTTGCTGGAGAGAAGGTATCCAACATGAAAACCACTCTCTTTTTGTAATCAAGTCTTTGAAGTGACATCCCATTGTATAATATCTGCCATATTCTATTAATTAGTAGTCGGCCAATAAGTCTGGTCCACACTCACTGGGTGGGGATGGACAAGCGTGTGAATGCCAGTAGTTGGAAATCATTCGGGGCCATGTCAGAGATCATCTCTCAGTTTAATATTAGCTCATCTTTAAAAGAAAAAAAAAATTAGCTCATCTTCAGTGGAGCTTTCATCTGTGAGAATCCTGAGCCTGGGTTAGAAGTAGTTCCCCCAGAAAATATTTTGGACTTCTATTTGACAAGTAGACAATGCTATGGGACCATCTTAATGTTAAAAAAAAATTTTTTTTAAAAGGTCTTCCCACTGGAGAATTTTTTTTTCCTTTAAATATGTTTTATTGATTTTGTACAGAGAAGAAGGGAGAGAGATAGAGAGTTAGAAACATCAATGAGAGAGTCATCAATCAGCTGCCTCTTGCACACCCCCTACTGGGGATATGCCCGCAACCAAGGTACATGCCCTGGACCGGAATCGAACCCGGGACCCTTTAGTCCCCAAGCCGACGCTCTATCCATTGATCCAAACTGGTTTCGGCTTATGTTAAATTTTAATGTAGGTGGGTCTGGCCCCTGCAGGCCCATGCAGACACAAAAGCCTGTGTCTGTGAGATTAGCTTATCGGTATAAATTCTTAAAAGGTTTGCTTCCTTTCCCTTTTCCACAGTGCCTAGACTATGGGCTAGCTTCCGTACCATCAGTCTGTGCTGATAATATCTTCCCCTAGTTTACTTTCCATCAAAGGTTTTCTCCTTTCCTACTTTTATGCAGGTTCTCATTTGGTTTTGCGCTTGCTGTGGGCCTAGAACCTTACAGCTGCCCCCAAGTGGGTGCTAAAACCTAAGCCCTTTGATTACTGAGACCAGCAACCTCTCCCACCCCTTCCACCTCCACTAGGCTGTTTGCAACAGCGGCTCACACAGTTAACATTCTGAATTTCCAGTTTCCTCTCTGCCTTTGTCCCCTGGGGACTTAGCTTGCTTTCTTGCGAGCTCAGCTATGCATATAAAGCAACGTTTGTTATATTTTATCCGGTGTTTTGAAATGGGAGGGTTTTTCAAGGTTATCTAAACTCCATGCCATATATAAAGCATACAGCCTAGCCCCCTGTTGGACAATCCATCACGGACAATTTCCAATAAGCCCCAACAAAGTATTTTCTTCTAAATATCCTACACCTGTGCTCGCTTCGGCAGCACATATATTAAAATTGGAACGATAAATATCCTACACCCTTGGAAATATGAATATTGAGTCTGAATCTGGGTTGGAGAAAAGCTCAGGTTCTTACTTCCCAAGAGGTTTTCTTTTGGCTTTGACTCTTCTGAAAGTGGGAGCTAAGGAGCAGGGTGGAAGGAAGGCAGCCCGGGAATAGTAGGAGAATTCAAAGTATAATGTTACAATTTCGTAATCGTGATACAGTAAAGAGCAACTTGAGGTACAATAGGCCTCTGAGAGTCTGTAGGATTTTGTATTTCCCTCGGGTCCTGGTCTCCTGTTCAACTCCAGAAACTCCTCTTGGCCTGTGGAGACGGGAGGTGTGTGGCCCCAGGGAGCTTCTCACCCTTTCTATCTCTGCCTTGCTATAGAGTTCATTGCGGGGGTAACATATGGTTGGGATTTCAAGAGCTTCAGAACCCCTGGGAAAGAGAGGTCTCCGAGAGGTATTTCCATTGCGATTTAAGAACCTCTTGCTACTAATAATAGTAGCTGATGTTCACTGAGCATCTGCTGCATGCCAGATATTATGCCTCGTGCTTTACACACGGAAGAGGGCTGGAGGCACAGAGATAAGCTGCTGAGTGAGAGTTCTTCCATCCCTGGATTCCTGACCGGAGACCAGATTGCTCTCTGCTCCACGAAGGGACCCTCTGGGCTGGGTCAGTTCTTATGGGGGAGTATTCTGAGCCTGGCCTAGAAGTAGCAGGAGTTAGATCAACTCCCGAGCCTCAGGAAATACCCTGCCACTGCTGGTCCTCGGTACCCCCAGAGATCCACAGATAGGAAACTGAGAGAGAGACTCACAAGAATTGTGGTGAAGCCACAGAAGCCACAGGAGCGGGGCTTAGGCCAGTCAAATGTGGGCGAACTTCCCAGGATCTTGGATTGATTTTTCCATGGCCTATGACTTCTGTACACTTGTAATAAAGTTCCTTCAGAAAAAAGCGGCCAACAGAAGCCCAGACAGTCCTTTTTTAAATGACTGGCCCCATGTTGGAACCACTGAGCTTTGGATCTCCAGTTAATTTGGCTCTGAGCTCCAAGGCAGCCAAAGCAGAGATGCATAGAGGTGAAGAGCCCTGGGCTCAGATCCTTGAGGTGGGGGCCTGAGTTCATGTCAGTTTAACAAGCTCTCCGGAAGATTCCGAGGTTCAGTCACCCTGGCATGAGAACCAGGAAACCTGGCCTTTTACTGGGTTTTACCACGTACAAGTTGGCATCCTTAGCTAATTCATCTGCCCTCTCTGGGCCTTAGTTTGTCCATTGGTAGAATGGGATAAAAAAAAAATGCCTCCTCCATTTGATGTAGAATCCTGTGGTACCATATTATGCTTTTGAGGCTCAGTTATGGAAACACTGAGCTGTATTTTACACATGGATCGAGCCACTCCTTTGTGTACAGCCTCTATGGACTGCACATAAATATGATGCCACGAGTCTGAGAGATGTCACAAGTCACAGCCATGGGATACTTGCTGTCACACTCACCGTGTGGGTGCTGCTGAGGCTCTGGTCATGACTTCATTGCAGGGCCTCTGCATAATCACTCGTGGGGGGATTTCTCTGGGCTCATGACAGGAAGAGTTGTGGTTCTCATGAACATTGGCCTGTATTTACCAGATAGACCCTGAGACCTTCGCCTGCCACTGACTGAGTGCTGACTGTGTGCCAGTATCTGCACATTGTGCCTCACAGGGTTTTTTGTTTTTTTTTTCTTCTTCAAATAGACCATGAAGATAGTCCTATTATCATTCCCATTTGACTGAGGCCCCAAAACTTTAAGCAACTTTCTCTGGTCACACTGCTAAGAAATAGGGGGGCCAGCACTAGAATTCAGCTGGTCTCTCACTTCATAACTCGTGTGGGCAAACCATAGGCTATCCCCCTCGATGCTTTGGCTGTTCTGAAGCTCAAGGTCAAATGTGCACCCATCCTGTGCTCTGGGTGTAGAGCTTACCACTGGATCACTTCCTTTTCCTACCTTTATTTTATTTTAAAAAAATACTTTTTATTGATTTTCCACAGAGTGAAAGAGAGAGGGATAGAGAGCTAGAAACGTCGATGAGAGAGAAACATTGACCAGCTGCCTCCTGCATACCTCCTACTGGGGATGTGCATGCAACCAAGGTACATGCCCCTGACCGGAATTGAACCTGGGACCTTTCAGTCCGCAGGCCGACACTCTATCCACTGAGCCAAACTTGTTTCAGCTCTACCTTTATTTTTTTCCTTTGCTTTCAGTTTGCTTGTATAACGCAAACGAAGCTGCAGCCTCTGTGGTATATTTAGTCTTAGCGCAGTGTTGTGTGATAGGATTCTGTGAACAAAATTTTTGTTTTGCTCTTTTCTTAGTTGCATTAATTTTTTTTTTTTGTAACACTATGGATTCTGCATTACAAAACAGCAGAAGTAAAAGCAAGAACAATGCTCAGTGGATAGAGCATTGGCCTGCGAACCGAAGGGTCCCCGGCTGGATTCTGGTCAAGGGCATGTACTTCAGTTGCAGGATCCTCCCTGGCCTGGGCCCTGGTTGGGGTTCGTGCAGGAGGCAACCAATCAATGTGTTTCTCTCACATCGCTATTTCTCTCTGTATTTCCCTCTTTCTAAAAATCAATGAAAAAAAAAAAAAAACATCCTCAGTTGAGGATTCAAAAAGTAAAAATAAAAACAAGAACCTCACCCAGCAATGGCTGAACTTCCCTTCAAAGTGGAGGGCAGGGAAGGAACCAGTAGGCCAAACCAGAGCCCTAGTTCATGGGCAGAAGGTGGGGGAGTCCTGGAAACTTGAAAGTTAATAATTTTTGCTCCATCACTTACCAGTTATTTCTGTCCTGCCACATGGTGTATATCTCTACAAGTTGCTTTCAGTCAGTTTTACAATGGAGTGGATCATAAATAATAAAACAAAAGCTAGCCTTCCCTGCAGCCCGGCACCCGGATAGTGGGCAAGAGGGTGTGCCTGTCAAGTCAGAGTCAGGTGAGAGAAACGGGAGGGGCTAGCGCTACACCCAGAGCACAGGTGGAGAGGAAGATGGGGTGGTCTGGAGGCTGAGGTACAGCCTCACATCTGGGAGAGGCATAGATGGGGCGGAGGGAGGAATCTTGAGAGGAAAGACTGGCTCCCTGTCTGGCTTTAAGGTGTTTTGGGGGAGCAGCCCTGGGCAGAGATGCTTTCCTCTTTCTTTGCAGAGAATGAGGGTTTCTTTTAGTCCAAATGCAGAAGAGTCGCGTAGAGACGCCGCCTCTGCAGATCTAGACATAGCCCTTTGGCAGAGTGCCTCAGAAGCACCCCCGCCCCACCACCACCCCAGTAACGGTCCTCTCGGTCCCTGTCCCCTCAGCTCAGCGAGGAGCTGAGCCAGCAACTGGAGGCTGTGTGCGGGTCTGTGTTTGGGGAGCTTGAGTCCCAAGCCGTGGACGCCCTGGACCTGCCCGGCTGTTTCCGCATGCGGAGCCACAGCTACCTCCGGGCCATCCAGGCCGGCTGCTCTCAAGACGACGACTGCCTGCCCCTCCTCGCTGCCCCTGCCTCTGTCTCAGGGAGGCCCGGCTCCTGTGAGTATGCTTCCCTGGCCCCCCGCTGGGCCCTAGGTCGGAGGTGCTGGTTCTGACTTCCCCCTCCTCCCTCCCCCTCCAGCTGTGCGTTGTGACCTTGGGTAGGTCGCTGCCCCTCTGGGGTGGATGATGAGCAGCACGTGGAGTCCTGGGCGCCGGGTGGGTGTGTGGGGTGGGTTGGCGGGACACGGATGGATGCTAGCCGGGACGCATTTCTCACCCTGCTGCGTCTCTCTCGGTGTCCCTGGCCACAGCCTTCAACTTCAGAAAGGCTCCGCCCCCCATCCCGCCGGGGAGCCAGGCCCCGCCCCGCATCTCCATCACCGCCCAGAGCAGCACCGACTCTGCCCACGAGAGCTTCACGGCGGCCGAGGGCCCCGCCCGGCGCTGCAGCTCCGCCGACGGGCTGGACGGCCCCGCCATGGGCGCGCGCACCCTGGAGCTGGCGCCGGTGCCGTCGCGGGCCGGCCCCAAGCCCCCGACGCTCATCATCAAGACCATCCCCGGCCGGGAGGAGCTGCGGAGCCTGGCGCGGCAGCGCAAGTGGCGGCCGTCCATCGGGGTGCAGGTACGGAAGGCGGATGGCAGGCGGACGGGAACTCGGGGGCCGGGTGGTTGGGGATGGGTGGAGTGGGCCCTCAGGGCCTTCTGGGCACATAGACCTTCCCCTTGGCTTACTCTGAGCTGCAGGTGGCCCCCTGGGCCTGGTCACGGACAGGGCTGCTCCAGCCAGCCCCAGCCCACACCTTTGTCCTTCTTCCTGGCACCATCATCCATCCCTACTGGCCCGTGGAGAGTGGTTCCCGAAATTTGCCTCCTTGATGCCGCTGATTCCCGAGCCTCTCCTCTTGTTCAGGCCGATTGTCTTTGCAGGGTCTGCCAGCTGGCTTGGTGTGTGTGTGTGTGTGTGTGTGTGTGTGTGTCAAACGTTGCTGGCCTTTCTCTCTGAGATGGGCTTGCGTCCCTGGCCTAGCCCCCAGCCACTGACTCCCCCACTTTGCCACCAGGTGGAGACTATCTCAGACTCGGACACGGAGAACAGGAGTCGAAGAGAGTTCCACTCCATAGGCGTCCAGGTGGAGGAGGACAAGAGGTAGGTCTGCGCGGGGCCACCCTAAGCTGCCTTGGGGGAGAAGAGGAGAGAAGGCTGCCTATCAGCTTCCTTGGCCTGGTCTCCCTGGGCACTCTCTCTTTCTGGCTGAGGCCAAGCCCCTTGTCATGGGGAGGAGTCAGAGCAGCCACTGGGGTTATCCACAGATATAGGCAGTCATCAAACATAAAGGGAGTTCTCCTTATACCCGTGCCTGTCCCCGGTGGTCTGAGGTGGACAGGAGCTATACATGGGTTGAGGGCAGAGAGTGGGAGGGAGAGGCAAGAGGTAGGTGCCAAGCAGGTCTCTAACAATTGTCCTTTACAAGGGATAACAGGATTTTGCCAATTCCTTGTTAATTTCCTGTGGTGTCCAAGTATGTGAGCTCAGAGAAAAACAAATAAATATGAAGATGGCCTCTCAGGGGCCCCTGGCACACATAACACTCCTCTTCTCTTGGCTCACACAGCCTTTGACCAGTTGGGGGTACCTATGATATATATCTGAGTCATTGTGTGTACCCGAGACGGTGGCATTACAAACAGCCAGCCTTCTGGCATGAGGTGGCCTCAGAAACATTGCTTCCTTAATTTCTCATGGGAAAACTAGCATTGTGAGCTCTGGAGGGAATCCTGGGAGAAGTCCCTCTGTTGTTGAGTTCCTGTGGGGAAGATGCTTTCTTTGATGGCCAGGTGGTAGTGTCCATGTGGCCCATCGGCCCTCAGGGCTACAGTGCTACCAGGCCGGTGGCCCTAAGTATGGTTTCTGGGAATCTGCCTGAGGCTGGCTGTCAGAGTTACATGGTGATTGGTGTTCCTCAAGCCATACCCACTGGAGGAATAAAACTAGAGTCCCAGTAGCAGTCCCTTGCAGGCTGTTCCAGTTGCCATTGTTGGGCCTCCCCTAAAGTTCCCCCAACTGTTTCTGGGAACTCCTGGAGTGTCTTGTGTGTGTGCCTGATCAAATGTTTTTCTCTACTCTTACTCTAGCTCTTCCTGCAGCTTGACATGCTCTTGAGGCTGTACATGCCATCCTCAGGGATGGCAAACATTTGCTTTTGTTGCCCTCGATCACTCCCGAAAGCTATTATCCTCCAAACCCTTATTATTGCACAAAGATCTCAGAAAAGTAGCACTTTCTGGCCAACTTTATGGCCTGTGACTTGAGTTTCTTGAAAGGTGTGTGAGGAGGTATGGACGGGTGCAGCCCCCCTCTAATGCTGCCCCATGATCATAAACTAAGCCCGTGTGCTCCTCACTCCCTCCCAATGAGGCTTTTTGGTCCCTCATCCAGATACACCTCTGGGGTCCTCCTACTCCTCCTAGCAAGCCTGAGTCCTAAGAAGAGTGCAGTAGGCATTCTACTGAGACTCTGGCTAAACCAGCAAATTCTGTCATTCATTCATTGAGTCATTCATTCAGAAAATACTTATTAAATAAATGACAGCTCCTGTTAAATGCTCAGGGAAATATCAAAGACCTGACTCTTGACCTCATTGAAGTAATGGTCTAGAGAGGAATCAAAGCAATGAATAAATCATCCATGAATGAAAATATGATTACTCATTGCAGCATAACAAATAATGGGGTATTATTTCACATTATGGTGGGAGTATGAAAGAACAAAAAGCAGGAGCTGAGAGAGAAAGGACCTTATTTAAGTTCAGCAGGAGACATTGAAGCTGAGACTTGTGGATTGACTAGAAACACTCAGGTGATGAGGAGTGGTGGTGGTGGGGATCTTTCCTGAAAGAGGGAATAGCATCTGTGAAGGTGCTGGGGCAGAAAAGAAGTTGACCTGCATCAGGAATTAAAAGGAGGTTTACGTGGCTGGTGTGGAATGGGGCAGTGGCAGGGTCCAGGTCATGCCAAGCATGGGTATGATAAAGAAGTAGAATTTAATTATAACTAATGAGTAGCTATTAAGAGGTTAAAGGAGTGTGACATGGTCTAATTTATGTTTATAAAAGATCACTAGCTGCTGAGCAGAGAATGAATTTGAGGGAAGTAAAAGTAGATATGGAGGAGAAAGGTGATGGTCTTTTGCCTTATGGGAGAGCTTGTGATGGGGATTTTTTTTTTTCTATTGTACTTTATAGTTGGGCACTGCTAATGTATGGGGACACTGTTTTTAAAAATATATTTTATTGATTTTTTACAGAGAGGAAGGGAGAGAGATAGAGAGCTAGAAACATCGATGAGAGAGAAACATCGACCAGCTGCCTCCTGCACGCCCTCTATTGGGGATGTGCCCGCAACCAAGGTATATGCCCTTGACCAGAATCCAACCCGGGACCCTTCAGTTCGCAGGCTGATGCTCTATCCACTGAACTAAACCGGTTTTGGCAAGTTTTATATATTGGTTTTATATTTAGCAACTTTGCTGCTCTCTTTTATTAGGACTCTTAGTTTATCTGACAACCATGATAGATTCTCCATATAGTCAGTTATTTTTTCCCCCTCTACAAATAAGGACATTTGTTTACATCTGTTTTTTTTGTAATAGAACTTCTAGTTCGCTGTTGAGTGTACCACACCTGTCCCAATCCTGATGTTGGTGGATATCTTCTCAGTTCCCGCTCATAAGTATGATGATGTTTGCTAAAGATTTTGATGAATACTACTTATCAGGTTGAGGAAATTCCCTTCTGTTCCTAGTTGGCTAAGAGTTTTCATTTAATCTTTAAAAAGATATAAAATGAGAGTGGAATTTTATTGAATGCTTTTTTTCCAGAAACTACATAGATGATCATATATTTTTCTCTTTTCATTTGTAACATGGTGAATTATATCAAATGGATTTTTCCATGTTGACCCATTCTTTCATTCCTGGATAAATCCTAGTTGATACTATTATCAGTTGGGATTAAGTTTGGCTGTGAGTAATAGGGCCTCAATAATGTCTTAATGTTTTTCTCTGTCATAAAAAAAAGAAGCCCAGCCTGGGCAGTGCTGCTCAGTGGTTGAGTGTTGACCAGTGAAGGTTGAGGTTTGATTCCCTATTAGGGCACACGCCTGGGTTTTGGGCTTGATCGCCATGTGGGACGTGCAGGAGGTAGACGATCAATGATTCTTTCTCATCGTTGATGTTTCTCTCTCTTTCCCTTCCTCTCTGAAATCAATAAAAAATATATATTTTAATAAGCCTGGATATAGAAGTGAAGTGTCAGACCCGAGGCTACTTCTGTCTTATGCGTTCCCACCCTTTGTGTATCATCTCATATCCAAGCAGCGATAGGTCCTGCTCTAGCCATGCTCTGCATTCTGAGCAGTAGGAGGGAAGATGAGAGAAGGGGTGCAGTCTTTCCTTTAAAAAAAATATTTTATTGATTTTTTTACAGAGAGGAAGGGAGAGAGAGAGAGCTAGAAACATCAATGAGAAACATCGACCAGCTGCCTCCTGCACACCCCATACCAGGGATGTGCCCACAACCAAGGTACATGCCCTTGACCGGAATCGAACCCAGTCCGCAGACCGACGCTCTACCACTGAGCCAAACCAGTTTCGGCCAGTCTTTCCTTTTTAATAAGACTTCCTAACAGTTACACATAACACTTTCACCTACATCACATTGAAACCTCATCACCTGGTGGTATCTAGCTGCAAGGGAGGCTGTGGAATAGACAAAGAGAAGAATGGATGTATTGAACTCCAGCAGTTTTGGTCATAGACTTGCTGGATTATTTTTATACACCTTGTTGGATTTTTGAATAGCTATTACTTTACTTAAGATTTTTATATCTGTGTTTATAGCTGACATTGGCCTATTATTTTGCTTTTATTGTTGTTAGTTCAGGTATTAAGGTTATGCTAGATTCCTAAAAGGAGTTTGACAGCACTCTCTGTGTTTTGTTCTTTGGAACAATTTGTGTAAAGTAGGAATTATCTATTCCTTAAAGGTTTGGTAAAGGTTGCCCATAAAACTACCTCAGCCTGATGTCTTTAGGGGATAAGAAAACCATTAAAAAAAATACATTTTATTGATTTCAGAGAGAGGGAGAGCGAGAGAGATAGAAACATTCACTGGCTGCTTCCTGCTAGGGATTGAACCTGTAAACCAGGCATGTGCCCTGACCAGGGAATTGAACCTGCAACCTCCTGGAGCATGAGGTGATGCTCAACTAACCCAGCCACACAGGCCAGCCAGGAGAAACTTTTTGAACTACAGCTTAATTTTTTTTTTTTGGTGGTTATTGATCTGTTCTGGTTTCATTTTCCTTATTGTGTTAATTTTGGTGATTTATATTTTCTAAAAAAATGGGCCAATTTACAAAAATTGACAATTTCCAAAAATTTTGGCACAAATTTTCTGTTATAGTATTACAATTTTATAAACATTTACTGTATCTAAAGGTTATGCCCCTTTTCCTTCCTTCCTTCCTTCCTTCCTTCCTTGATTAATCTTATCTGAGGTTTGTATAGTTTATCATCCTATATAATAAAAGTCTAATATGCAAAAGACCGAATTCTGGAACGAACAGTGGAACAACTGGTCGCTGTGACTTGCACTAACCACCAGAGGGGCAGACACTCAACACAGGAGCTGCATCCAGCCTGTAGGCCCCAGGCCAGGTGCTAGTGAGGCCCTCTGATCACCCTGAAGAGGGAGGTGACTGGAGGCAGCAGAGAGCCGGGCTGGCCAGTGAGTGGAGCAGGTGGTGCCAGGCTGGCCAAGGCAGATGTCAGCGGGGGTTTCCCAATTGTAGATGGGCCTTGATTGCCAGCCAGGCCTAGGGACCCTACCCATGCACGAATTTTGCGCACCAGGCCACTAGTATAAATATATTTATTAAGTTATATTTTAGTAATCTTAAAAAAACTAGCTTTTGGTTTCAATGAGCATCTCTATTGTTTGTTTCTATTTTGTCATTAATATTTCCTGCCATCTATAGTACTTTTGTGTTATTATATTCTTCTACCATCTTTGTCTTTTTTTCAGCCTCTTGAACATAATTTCTTATTTTCTAACATGTGCTTTTAAAGCTATACATTCCCTTGTAACT